TCCTCCCTCTCATGCTCTCTGTCTCTCATTCTCTCTCTCTCAAATAAATAAATAAAATCTTTAAAAAATAATAATAATTAAATGCTTTTTTGGAAAGTGCATCTGTTTGTTTTCACCATTTGTGTTCCGTGGCTTGCTCAGGTGTGAATTTATCTTTTAGTTGATGTTACTACCCTTGACCCAAGCGTCAGGGTGCTGCTGCGCCAACGCAGAATCTGTTTCCTCACAAAATTAGTTCGTCTGTTTCTGAAGTTGGGAGATAATTCTGCTTTTTACAGTGGAATTGTGGTGTTTTAAGTTAGAAAAGTATAATAGTAATTCACATTTATACTAGAAGGGGTTTGCCATACTTTGGACAGAAAAGGGGTACAGTATTGTGTTTGGTGGTAATCCTTCAGTTTTATTCTAAAGTTCCTTGTTGCTTCATAGCATCTTCCGTTGTATATGTTCATTTATGTGTTGTGTGCATTTAATGATCTGTCTTCTATCCCCCGACCCCCTGGTTTGTTTGGGTTTTTTTTCCTGTCCCACATCTCTTTGCTTCTTCCCCGCCCCCCCCCAATAAAGCAGCATCTTTTGGAGTGGGAAATTTACTGTCTAATAGAAGCCATGAAGTAGAAAAGTTATCTTAGATATTAAAAATAACACACTTCTCATAACTTTAAATTCTGCTTCAATTATGTGTAGGAGTGGAGTGTAGGATTTTCAAGAAGAGTAAAATTCCTGCCCACAAGTGTTGACAGTCCAGTCGGAAATAGGCAGCCTGACACATAGGGAAGAATTCAGATTGTGAAGGCTGCTCAGATGGTTAAAGAAAAAAGAAGAAGAAGGAAAAAAAAAAAAAAGCCTTACTCTACTTTCTACTCCTGAAATGGCACTTCACCTTAGTCCCCTGAAGTTGGTTCTCCCTCCCATCCCTGACCTGTGGTATTGCAGGAACGAGTTCTCCATTGTGGTATCTCTACGACTGGGCAGGGAGGAGGTGAGGTTTTGGAAGAGGGTGGGGAGTCTCATGCCGAAATATTTGCTGATGCCTCCAGTATCATGTCAAAGTAATCACTCTTACGTTACAGAACATTATTTTTCAGACTGCAGGTCATGATCCATTAGCGGGTTGAGAAACACATTTAGGTTCTCCCTAGACTTTTTTTCTCTCCAGAACTTTAAAAAAAAAAAAAAAAAAGTGAAATGGAATTGGATGAAGAGGGACCACTTTGTCATAAATAGCAAGCATAGCATGTCAAACTTTTGCGTTATTTGAGGGTACGTGTGAGCAGGTCTGTATTGAGTCGCATGTAAATTCTTAGTATGGTTGCCACTTAAGGAGTTTGAGAGCCAGACTCTCACATTTATCTTGAGAGGCTTCCTTGATGAGCTGAGCCTTTGAAAAAGAGCAGGAGAGAACTACTCCAGTGTTGGCGCCATTGCTTACACATAGGAACTCACGGATCACATCTGCTGAAGCAGAAGTCTGCAGGCAACGCCAGGCAGCAAGCATGCATGTATCGTATGCAGAAGCCTTGAGAAGTAACTGAGAAACAGGCTGGGCAGATAAAAGGGGAGAAGGGTGTGGTGGGTGGTGTGGCCCTGGAGATGGAGGATGGCCTCGCCAGACCGAAAATGGTGTTTGAGATGTGATATGTTAGACTGCTTGGTGTGATACCAAATTACTGCTTTTTGTGGGAAGTTTTGGTCTTAGAAGCTTCCTCCTTGCCCCCCCCCCCGCAAAAAAACAAAAAACAAAACCCTTAAAACTGTGGTTAGGAGACCCTGCCGCTTTTGGAAATGCTCAGCCCTAGTTACTAGGACAATATTTATATCTGGTAGTGTTTATCAGAACTCTGGATTTGTATTCCAGGGCCTGCCAAACTGCCTGTGTGATTGTGAGCCTCAGTTTCCTCTTGTGGAAAATGACAGGGTTGGACTCTCCTAGCTTTTATAGTTTGAGTAAGAACAGTTTCAATAAGATTTTTTCTTTAAATGTACATATTTCAAACCAGAATGTTACTTTTTGAAATTCACCTGCAGATAGTCTTTAGACTGTTGAGTAAAGCCAAGGCTACCACCAATCGTTGTAAAAACGGTATTCTGAAGGTGTATGTCTGCTGGCTTTTTGGAAATCAAAAGTATTTTCCTGTGATAACCTTATGAATATGTAGATTCCCAGATCAGCTTACAGATGCATTTCACCTTTGGTGTAACAGGTCCTAATCCTAGCCACCATTTATGGTTTCTTTAGGAGATAGTTCTAAGTCCTGGGTTGCCGGGAGAACAGTTCATTTTGCCCCAGGATGGGGACTGTCGGGGAGAGGTAAGATGGCTCTTCTTGGGTGCTATCTTGCCTGCTAAGCATTCTACATATGCAGAAAAGAAAGCACTTACCTTTTCACAGCTGACAAAAACTTTTCAGGTGCAGATTTTGTTTTTAACTGGAGTGTGCAGTAAGTACAACTTTTGAATTCACTCTAGTGTTAGCTGCCTGCCAGGCCTTTTCAGCTACTTAACAATAGAGACATTATCAGAATTGAAATCTGTCTGACTTCAGGTCCGTTTCTTAAACATGTAATACCAGGTTTTGGATTATTTACAATGTGTATGAGATTTCATCAAATCTCCTTTTACAGAGTTCACGCTACAGGTTATAGAGGTGTCAGAAAACAACATTTAAAAGCAAATGTATAGTTTTTCTAATTTTTCTAACCCAGTGTAGTGGCTCTTAAAGAAGGTGAATTGTCTTCTAGTTAGCAGAGAAGTGCATGTGAACTTAAGAGAATATATGTCCTTAATATTTGAGTGTGTTCTTACCATGCATAAAGCCAACAAAACTGGGATGGGATATGTTAAGGGCTGATATGTCACCCATTGAGTTTGAAGGACAAATTTGCCTGTGTAGGTTAAGAATGCTTAAGTGACTATTTAGAAAATGCATAGCTTGTTAATTAATAAGCTTATGATCCTATAAAAAAAAACAGCTATAAATCTAGAATGGACAAACAGATTTTCATTTGAGTGTAAATTAACGTGTAGCTTTGGACAAATTGCTTTATCTCAACCTCAGTTTTTTTATCTATAAAATAGGGATGATAATGCCTTATAGGGTTATAAAGATTAAATGAGATAATGTTGATGAAATGGTTTACAAGTAAGTGCCTCGCCTTTTGAGTGAAGACTCATAAATGGTAACTTAAAACATTCACTTGGAAGTTCTTCAATATCTGTTTATCTCATTTAAATAGCCATGGTCAAGCAGACTCTTAATGATAGAGCATAAACTGAGGGTTGCTGGGAGGGAGGTGGGGGCATGGGTTAAACAGGTGATGGGGATTAAGGAGGGCACTTACGTTGAGCGCCAGGTGTTTGTAGGTGATGAACCACTAAATTCTACACCCGAAACTAGTATTAGTACTAACTAACTGGAATTTAAATGAAAACTTGAAGAAAAAAATAATTAAAAAAATAAATGGCTATGGGGAATGGGGCATTCCGTGTATGTGGGTATTTTTTTAACCAGTTAACTTAAATTTGTTTTTTCAGATAGAATTATATTCCATTAAGCTTAGTTATTTTTGATGGTATTGATTGTATTTGAGAACTATAGTATTTCTAAATTGCATTTTAAAATCTAAATTTTGTCTTAAAAATGCATTATTGGACACTGACCAGAATTAGATATGGAGTACAAATATTTCTTGATAGTCATTAGGAATGTTCAGGTTTCTTACATAGGTCATTGAGTATTTTGTGACCTGTAAAGCAAAGTTGTTTTATCTTTCACTTTGCTATCACTGTGGACATTGTTTTAACAGTATTTATTATTCACCTGTCTCTAAAGCACAGTGGTGAAATCAAGGAAAAATAAATTTGTGTTTCTGAAC